CTACTACTACTAACAATATAATAATGATGATGATAACAGTAATAATAATTTTAAAATAATAATGATGATGATGATGACGATGTCTCGCTGACCTGAGGAAGACGAGCAGCCAACTGGACATCTGTGAGGCCCACTGTAGCACAAACTGCAGGTACTGGCAGCCCCGGGGCGTCATGTGCACGTGCAGGGTGGGCAGGTGAATCATGAGCAGCTTGTGCATCAGCGCCAGGCTGTCCACCACACACAGTGACGTCATGTACACCTGGGGCGGCGCCACCGGCCACTTCCGCCGGATGTAGAGGGCGCTGAACAAGTTGCCGGGCAGTCCGAGGAGACAGAGGAGGCCGGGGTAGACCAGGCCCAGGTAGAAGGCCGTCTGGTAGTACGGGCTGGCCTCTAACCGGCTCCACGCGGACACAGAATCGTTGTGGGCGGAGCCTCGAGGCTGTTCCGACATTTCCGGTTTGTGTTGGTCGTCAGGGCAGCTCGTCTGCTTCGTCTGCTTCTAGTGGCTAGTTCTCTGTCCTGGGACAAAGCAGCAGGCTCTCTTTTATCTGTACAAAAAACCCAGAAAAAAGGGATTGGGAATAACAGGTGGGGGGGGGAGGGGGGGGGCTCACTGCTTCCTAGACAAGAGGGTCAGAGGTCAAAGGTCAGAGCTGGCTGTGGGAGGACATTTGGCGCCCGTCTCTGGTAGGTCAGAACCAGCGGCGGTGAGAGCCGCGAGAACCCCACACCCCGACCCCAGCTTTGGGGGGAAAGTTGTCTCTATAACCAAACAAATATACACACCAATGAAACCAAACTTCTCCTATAGGTAGTGCAATGTCCACTTTTGGTGTCGGTCAAGATTTCTGGAACCTCCCGGAATATTTTCGGGATAGCCGGCTTGTCCTTCAAAGCGACCACATATAACAAAGAAAGAAGTAGATTCTCTCTAGAGGTAACTGAAATGTTCCCATTCTTCAACCCAAGGATAGATTTTCTCAACAAATATAGACGATTAGAGATCATTTTCAACAGACAGACAGACAGACAGACAGACAGACAGACAGATCATGTCGGTTGGGTAAATGCCTCTACCATTGCCCAGTCGACTGACTCGAGTGACAAACAAACTGTTTCGTTTTTTACAATATTTCTGGCTAACGGAATCACGAAATCAATTGTCTGATCTGAGAACATCACCAGTCGTCAACAACAAAAATGTTTATACAACTAAACTAAAAATAAAACATCAGATTCTAACAAAAGATGAAATAAACAAATCAATCACAATTCAAACGTCTTCCAAAGCAAAGTTTTCTAAATGTGCGCTCATATGACTTGACACAGCTGAGAGCGCCGTAAAACTCTTACCAACTCAAAGAGTATTGTCATACTCACCAGCAGCCCTATCTACAATATTTCTACCCTATGTGTCTACCCCGCCAGAAAACGCCGCATTCTCTCCCCGCGAGACACAAGCAACAGGCAGGAATCTTGCTCCAAACGGGAACCTTCTCTCTCTGTCCGCGCGTGCGTGGACACAGGCTGAGCAGACTGGAGAGACAAGCAGGCAGGGGACTGCTCACGGGGCGAGGGTGGGAGGGTTCAGCGCCTCACTGGCCGACAAACAAACATCTTTTGTCCTTACCCCC